GTATTGTAAAATAATTTTTTTATGTGTTTCACACCGTGTGTAAAATCAGTTGTGTAACATCAACGTTTCCTCCTGTTCCCCCAATGTACTATACTGATCTGCGTATCTGCGTAATATGAATTAAAATTCATGTGATGATGGTTTGTAAGGTTTGTAATAAGACATATGATTTACGTAATCGGATATGTTAAATTATAAATATAATACAGTAATATAATATTATGTACCAATGTAAGAAAATTAAAAAAAAAATATAAAATGAACCATTCTTCAAACTTTAGTACGTACTCTTTTTACATACTCTTTTTACAATATGTCAGAAACATTTCGTAGTTGGATAAAAAAAGACTGGGCTACTGGAAATATTTCCAACATAATAGTGGGTGTTTCCGCCTTGCTCATTGTAGCAACAAGACTAACAAGATATGTTTCGCAACGTGAAAAAGAAAAATCATATATTGATTCTTTAGAATCGCAAGCGAATAAATTGCCAATAGTATCATTATTACGATCAGATCCAACGTTCGAAGAAGTAAGAGGTCCATATGATCATGTAGCACCTGAACGTAGATCGAATCATTTTACAGCCGGCACTTTACAGGGGAAGGGAAAATTTGCAATTAGTCATATTGTCTTTGTTTCAGCAGAAAAGATGGAATTAGTGGTTATTTCCCATATTGGTTCTGATATGTGTGGTCATGAAGGAATTGTTCATGGTAAGTATATTGTTGGCTTAACATGCGTACACATAATCATAATAATAACATATTGTTATAGGTGGATTGATATCAACTTTCATGGACGAATTATTTGCAAGGACTGTAAGTTAAAACTTTTAATAATATTCTAATATTGTTGTCAATTTTAATTTCTTATTGACTGTTTGCCATAATTGAAGGTAATTCCTTTTCTCCCTAATAAAAATGGAGCAACAGCTTATCTACACATAAACTTTCGTAAACCATTAGGGGCAAATCAGTTTGTAGTGGCAAAATGCAAAGTTACAAAACTTGAAGGCAGAAAGGGTTTTGTTGAGGGAACTTTAGAAACTTTAGAAGGGCAAACGGTTGCTGACGGAAATGCATTGTTTCTCAGTTTAAAGAAGCTAGCTATTCAGAAGTGATTTCATTTTCGTCACTAAGTATATAATATAATTTAAAACTATATATGCGTATAGAATTTTTTATCTCCATCCAGATTTCTCCAGGCCATAGCAAAAACATTGTTCTTGACCGCCTGTCCCATTTTTCTTGACCCATCCTGGAAAACATTGTTCTTGACCTACTTGATTAATTTTTCTTGACCTACCCTAAAAAAAATAATACACACCGATTTTGACCCATGTGATCAATAAAATATTAGTTAAAAAACTATGCAATCTAGCAATATAAAACTTCGTTCGCTTTATTAAATACATGGATTGCTTATTTTTGTTAACTGGAACTAATTTTTATTTATTTCTTTATGTATGCAATTACTAAGACAAATTTTTAAATAAACTAGTAATTTTTAACTTATATAAACCTGGAACTTAAATATTACAGACTTTTAAAATAATGAGTCTTAATTGTCCAGAGCGTACGTACAGGTAAACTTATGTAAATGCAATTTCTTAATTTCTTTCAGTCCGCCACGTGATGTCGATCACTTAAAATTCTAGAACTTTCTTTAACATTAGTGATGATGACCTAATTATATTAGAACAGGGTTAAACCTGAGTCACCAACTAGTAAAATTCGTGAATTTACTAATCCCCCTAGTGTTTCGACCCGAAATCCGACTGTCTGAATTGATCCTTAAATCTAGATAAATTCAGATATTCAGATTAGAGATTTTTATTCGGATTGGTCAAGAAACTTAAATAACGAACCTAAGAGTGCACACAAAAGCTGGCTTTATATATAATTTAATGCGGATTCAATCCTGATTTAATAGAATCCGGATGGCCTGTCAAAAATAGGATCGAAACACTAATCCCCCCACCACTTCTGATTGGTTCTACTAATTATTCACATATCAGAGTATCTGTGTTATTAATCAATTTTATAGTTCTCCGATAGTGAAGTGGTGGGCACCCAAATTCTCTATGTAGAGTGAGATCTGAGTTAGGGTTAGGGTGAAATCCGAGTTTTGCTATGTTTTTTATTATACAACAACCCCATTTGATTTACATAGCAGATTTCTCTCTACATAGCGAATTTTACAAGCTGGTGACCTGTCGCATTATATTTTGTAAATTAGCGCGCTCCGGACATTTCGCACTGTATGTGTACCTAGTGTTAAAAACTATATATATATATCTAATTAGAAAACCGCGAGGTTTACAACTCGTATCTGTAATAGTGATAAGCATATGGGATCTTTGCTAGGAAGATCACCCTCCGAGATTTTCCGATCGTGCTAATCCGGAACATTTTAAACCAACATATCGGCCCTTATCTTTATTGATGAACGTTTGGCAAAAATGATTTACATGCAAATAAATACTGATATATTGGTTTGAATTTGTCCGATTGGAAGGGTGATTTTCCTAACAAAGATCCCATATGCATTGCTTTATGGTCCTGGATAAGACCTATAAAGTAATGCATTTTTTTTTACGAATTGTTTGTTCATCAAGACATATTTACAGCTGTTTTCATTATTTTTTGGGACATCTAGTGAAAAATTGATTGTTTGGCCGACTCGATAAGTTATTGATTTCGATAGTGATAAACCTTTGATTTGGGCGTGATTAGTATATTAAACGATTTATATTCTTTAATTCATAGCGATAATATTTTCTGAACGGTACAACAATGTCAACACATTCAAAATTAGATTTTTGCTTAAATACATGTCTAGTATGTTAAGTGTGTTTATTTTGTGCGAAAATTTATGGCGAAGATTGTTCTTGCCAACCAATGGATCTTAATAAAAACATACCATAAAAAGTGGACGCAGGTATCCCGGGTACTTTCATTACTCGTTTTTGTACCCAGGGCGCCTCTATATGAGTGATATACCATATAGAGACAATGTGTTTACTATACGTATCAAGTTTGTATGATAAATATAGTATATAGTACTTATATACCCGGGTATAAACCACCAACTAGCTCTTAAAACTGGTGGAGGGTACACTGCATGGGGTACATGTGTTCACGTTTTACGATACATAAAAAAGGTTCTGATATAAGGTAAGCTTTTATAATAAGCACACTACATGAGTAGGCATTAATAAAAAAAAGTTCAATATGAACGAAGATCTATTAACTGGATTAAAATCATATAATTCGAGTTATAATTCCAAAAACTAAAATTTTATTAACATTTGTCAAAATTGTATTGAGAATTATAACCAACAAGATCAAAGTAAAAATTTATATATTATATTATTTTATTTAAAAGGTTTTATATGTAAAAATTTGCTTTTTAGGTTTATTTAATAAAAATTTTGTTAGTTTAATTTTTGAGTATCATTTATAAATTTTCTAGTATTTGAAGATTTTTTTACAAAATTTTAAGGTGTAAAATAAAATAGAAAATAATCTTAATTGTGAAATTACCCTATTTTTTTATAATTTTTGCTATTTGTTTATATGTGATATATATTGTTTAACCAAAACAAATAATGATAAAGATTTAACTAATTGAATATTTATTATCACCTATTTTGGTTAAACAGTATACAGTATATTATATATAAACAAATAGCAAAAATTATAAAAAAATAGCTTAACTTCACAATTAAGATTATTTTTTATTTTATTTTAAACTATTCTTGAAATTTTGTGAAAAGAACTTTCTAATACTAAAAAATTTACAAATAATACTTAGAAATTAAACTGACAAAATTTTTATAAAAAAAAGAATTGATATTTAATAACCTTATAATTCAAAGCTTATAGTATTGTTTTATTATTTGTACTATTTTAATACTTTATTTGTTAAAAAATTTTATAACTTTATATATAATACAAAAATTTTAATTCAAGTTTTGTTTATATGTGATTTTTATTATATTTTAAAATATAACAATTTCTTTAGTTGAGTAGCAAATCATTAAGTAAACATATAATATAAATAATTAATACCTTTTATGATTATATTTAAACAAATTATTTTTTATCTATACTTTATAGATCTTTTATAAAATATTTGTATAATTTAGATTAAACATATCTAGATTTGTATAAATACAGACTAATCTAAATAAATTTTAACTATTCTAATAGATTAGATTATACATATTACCAAAATAAATTTTTAAAAAAATTTTATTTCTATTTAAATAAATTAGAATTTTTATATACAAGAGTAAATTTAATTTAGATAGTTATATTTCTTATAATTTCATCTTTTTAAAAAAAATTAAAAAATTCCATTAATATATATAGTTTAGATTATAAATAAAATTATAGTTTTTGGTAATCTTTATTGTATTTTTGTAAAAATTTTTGTAATTTGGTTTTGGCTAAAAAAATTTTCTAATAAATTCTTAATACAAAATATTTTTTTTAATCTTTAAAGATAAACTATGCTTCTATTTTTATTAACATTTAATTAAACTTCTTTACAAATTATAAAAAAATTATATTGTTTGAACTTTATATTTAAGAAATACAAAGACTAAAAGCTCAAACAAAGCTCATAACAGAGTTATTTGTAATTTAAACCTACTATAGTTTAAGTTTAGTATTCATAATAGTGAAAGGTACTAATTAAATTAATAAACTATGTAGTATTAAAATTATAGACAAAATATATATAAGTAAATAGACTAGCTTGGTTCTAGAAACACAATAAGATATCTACTAATTTTTATAAATTTATTAATTAAAATATAGTAAAAATTTAATATTAAGTTATATTAAAACTTTGTTTAATGAAATAATATCTTTAATTAAGTTAATAAAGTTTTGTAAAATAAACCTGATTATCTGTCAGATTACTATGATCGAGCTGCCAAATAATTTAGTTTATTTGGCAGAAAAAAAGTTTATTTTAGTTATTTGGCAAAAATTGATAGTTTATTTTGGTTATTTGGCAAAAATGATAGTTTATTTTGGTTATTTTGCCAAAAATGATAGTTTATTTTGGATATGCAGCAAAAATTAATACATACGTAGCTTATTTTATTTTATTAATATGCACTATATATACATATGTACATATGCATATTTTTTTATAGGTATACCTAGAATGCTATATGATATATTTTGCTATATAGATTTTGAATAAATTGAAGTATTCAAATAGTTTCTCATATTTAAAAATTCTCTAGATGTATCGAAGTACCTAAAGTCATCTTTCATGTTTTAAAATTTATTGGACAGATCGATGCATTAAAAAGGGTAGCTTGTTTGTAAATTTCTGATAGTAAGAGATTTCAAAATTAACGTAGGGAATCTAATTTTACAAAAATAGATAATGTATTTATTTTCAAATAAGTGATATATTACTTTCTGATAAATTTAAAATAATGATTTTTGTCATTAAAA